TCTCTTCCTCAATCCTTCTTGAAAGAGAACGTATCTATAGAATCATGTTCACCAAGGGATTTAGTGTCTATTTATCCTTTGCTTCTATTCCTTGTGTTCAAATTTTGTTCTCTGCTCTAGGTTGCAGGGGATTTTGATGGTTGCAATTCACAACTGAGGACCCCAGGGTTTAGCAGGTTTGGTTAGTGCAGCCTTGTCACATACAGGTGAAACATGATTCTTTGGCACTATGTACTGATTGGTCTGTAAGCAACTAACTCCTTGCATCAATTACTAACAGAGTTCTTCTTAATATGCCATCCCTCCATCGCAGAGCTTTATTTGGGGGTCTCAGGATGCAAACTGTAACATTGAATCCCTCCTCCTCACTTTCTACTGTGGGCTTTTGACACATCACCATTTCGGACAAGGACCCAGTTATTATGCAAGTTTTCTCAAGTGTGACTTTAACAAAAAAACTTTTGTGAAAATGGAAATGTAAGTTACACTGAAAAAAAGAACTGAGGCCATTTTTCTTTAATGGAGTACAAATGACCACGATAATTCTCCCTCTTTTCTTTTTAATATATCCACTGCTAGCAAAAACAGCCTGATGAAAATACCTCAGAGGCCAGCATTCTCTTTTCTCCCACATAAGGGCAATACCATCTACATCTGTGTTTCTCTGGGCCTCCAACTTGCAGAAAATTTCATTATTTAACATTTATCAGACTACTGCAGCACTGAGCATTTGGAGAACACAAACAAGATATGTTCCCTGACTGTATCTTTCCCATGAGCATTCACACCCCCTGAAAAGACCAGCCAACAGTGACTTTTCAGTCTGTATTGAAGAATCAGCGGGCAGAGACTATACCTGGGGCGAGGCAGGTAGTTACTGAGTAGAGAAGATTTAGTGCCTATGTATTAAACACATGTGAATAGTTTCCATTATCAAAAATAAATGTTTTCCTTCATGTTTTTATTGACCTGAATCTCTTGATATATCGTTTATTTTTCCACTTTTTATGGAATTATGAATTTAGAGGAATGTGTCTCGAATATAAGAAAACAACATGGAAAGCATGATAACAAATGATAACAGCAGAAGTCATTTGTAGCAAATGATATAATAATACAACGGGGAGTGGTTGGAGATCTGAATTTTTATGTGAAACATGGAGTTAAGCATGGTTTAAACATGGCAAAAATTAAAATTATATTGTGCAGACTACTTTTGAAATATAACAGAGTTAATGGCCAAATTTGGCCACAATATGGCCTTCAAAAAAGTTTCTTTTGGTTATATTTTGTCTTTTGCATGGTGGTTTTGAGATTATTGCTCATTACTATTCTCACATGTTCCATTTTTAACCATGTATAAGGTGAGATTTAGGCAACCAAATTTTAGAAGCTCCACAAATAATTCTTATGCTCATCTAGGGTTGGGAGTCATGGATATAGGCAGCTGGCTAACGTGGATGTGCTCACCCTACCTCCAACCTAACCCCATCCCCCAAAGAAATGGTTTGCCTTCCAAGAGTGACAGCAACAGCACATCCTTGATGAGATTCATTATTTAACTGTGTGACTGAGGAGATTTGTGGATGTGATCCATAATCACAGGGAGGCAGTTCCAAATGCTAGGAACGCTAAACCTCATCAGTTGCCATGTACCGTATTTGAGGTAAGACTACGTTAATAATAAGTGGATGATTCCAGTGAAGATAGAAAAGGCTCCTTGGCATAGTCCAAGAAAAAGATACAAGAAAGGGGGAAAAAAGGTGTAACAGGTATGGGAGATGTGAGAAATCCTGACCTGAGACTATTACATGATCTTGTAAGGCAGGGAAAATTAACCAGATATTTCCATGTCTTTGAAGAAGCCTCCCTTACATTCTTCCAGCCCCCTCTGACCTGATCATGTTCACCTAGTAGTCTTCTAATAACTAATAATATTTCATAGAAATTTTATTATTTGTCAGGGGTCTCATGAATCCAAGCATTCTAGTCACTGGGAAGGAATCTTCCTCTAGTATAGACTTAATAGATTAAAATTAGGGGTTATAAATCAGTCCTCTACCAGCATCATTAACATGACTCAGACTTCAAAACTCTGATCAACTCCAAACCCACTGACAAAATTGAGTTCTCTGGCTTGCAATGTTGATGAACAAACCCTTGAGCACCCTGGGAAGCTCAGGTTTGGGGAAGGTCAGAGAGCTGTGCTAGCAGCATATTCTGAGATATCACTCTGGCATTTTCTAATTTCAAAACCAACTCAGGAAAACTGATTTTAAAACTGTATTTTGATGGAAAATTTTATCTGGAGGATCCAAAGTCCTCACCATTTTCCCTATATTTTTTCAGGATGTGAAAACTGAGATGAAGAAAGCTGTTAAGTTTCCATGGAAATGGTGCCAATTAATTTTTTCTGTTCCTCAGGAAAATTCCTTGACTTAGCAATAATGTAACTTCCTGGCAATCCCTTGGCAGTCTTGAATGTAGGGCATCCGAAACACTTATAATTTCAGCGGGAAAATAGTTGGCTCTTGTAATCCCTTTTCCTTCCAGCATATAGTGAAAGAATTAAAGAATTTCTTTAACCTTCCTTACAGAACCTGTATAGTCCCTTTAGGAAATCTTGATTCTGACAAACATTTCGTAAAGGGGCCTTTTTTGTTGTTGTTCAAATAAAGAGATTATCATTGGTGAAGCAGGTACTGTTTTTCCTACTATACCATGAAATCCCAGGATAGTTAAAGAGTAATCATTAATTCAGGAATAAGCAGTTTTGATCGCCTAGTATGTCCCATGGGCTGGATAGTAATAAATATCTGAAAAGGTTTAGAGAAAAATGATTGGAGAGAGTAAAGAAGAAAGTAAAATTGTATAATTTTAAAATGTTCCCAATTATTCTTAATTATCTCTTCTCACATTAGATTCTGATTTCCCTGCAGACTGCAGTAATCAGGAAGGTTTTCCAACATTTCACAAGGTTTAATGTTCCTCTTCTCCTTGCAAATAGAACAATATTCTTTTCTTTTATACAGAATTACTGATATCCAGGGTTAAAAGAATCTAGGGAAACTGCTCTAAGGTGACTAATCTAAAACATCATCAATAAGTTGGATTTAAATATCCAGAGAGAAAAAATTCATACAAAATTTGAGTAAAATTTTCATATCCTAGCCCTAAAAGAGTTTTAAAAATATACTGATTGTTGATCTTAATGAAACAAATTAGGTACCAAGGTATGGACAGATATTAATCCAATAAAATATTTTATAATTAGGTTCTTATTTCCTTTCACTATTCTCCCCTCCCTTTTTTTTTCTGGGTACAGAAGGGACTATTTTTCTGTACATAAGGTGAAGAATAATTTGTCTCTAATAGACACTAGCAACCTTTCCTTCTGTTGCTCTCTGGGGGTAGCCAGAGGACAATAGGTAAAAGCGAGCATTCCAAGGACCTCTTCATTCCTCTTGCTATTTGTCACCTTCCTTCATCTCTGATGGCTTTCTTCACATTTCCTCCTCAATTCTAACGGAATTTAATTAAAACATGATAATTGAGTAATTTATTTAAAAATGCTTCAGGGAAATTTTCTCCTAAAGAGCTCAAAGCATCCTCTCTCTTTGTTCTTTCCAAAACTCTGTGGGGTATGTGGGGGAGTCCTGAGAGGAATAATCTCTACTTTGCTAATTCCTCAGGAACTGTTTGATTCTAATTGTAGAATGATCTCATATGGAGGTCTGCACTTGTTTCTTGAGGTAAAGGTACAGTGGAAGGATAATAACCTTAAGAAGATAAATCTTTTCCTTCAAATTATGAAATCACTAGAAATGGAAAGCTGTCAAATAGAGGTTTCTTTTCTTTTCTTTTTTTTACATGTAAATTTGTAAGCAGTATATCTATGTGTTCAGGGCCAGAAATTCAGCTTCATCATGTGCCGCACTCAAGCATCATGTACTTAATTGGAAGAACGATCTAAGTACCATTTGAAGGGATGGATGAAGATCACTTGTTAAGGACATACCTTTGCTTGGAGGACAATCCATGACATCTTACAAGCAGGTCCACTGAGGTGGAGTGAGAAGTGAGTGCAGTCAGTGCCCAGCCATCTCTACGATGGCACAAAGGGACACTGGCCAGGGGTGGGGGGTGTTCAGTGGCTACTGGGAGATAACCTCTTGGTTTTATTTTAATGTCTCTCTCAATAATTTACTGGTAGCAATTTCAAGGCAATGCTGTCTTGGACTGAAGTTATTTCCAAGGCGCGTTGAGATTATTGATTATCAGAGCCAGCCCCCTACATCTGTCACCTTTTACATTTTTCATTTTTGAACTTTAACCAAGAGCTTATTATCAGGGGGAACATCATAATAAATAACCTGCTAGAGTTTCTCTTTCCAGTTGGAACCATGCATGTCAGGGAAATCTGTAGAGAGAGAGGAAATTTTTGCTACTGTGTGTGTTGTCTCTGTAGCTACAGTTTTCAGCTTTTTTCTGCATGACAAGTAAGTGTTCCAAAAACTGCTAGATTAAGGGTGGAGAGCAAAAGAATAGTGAGACAAGGGTCCAATCTTTGATTGGAGTTCAATGCAGAGTACAGAAATCCCATGCTGGTCCCCTTCTTTGAGAAATCAATCATCTGTCCCCCTGTCCCCAACCCACCCAACTTACACTCCAGAGGCTTCTCTCTAACGGTCTATGAAAGCATGGTCTCCATACAGGTTAGAGAAGTTGTATTACTTGACCTTCCTAAAGCCCTGGTAACAACATCATCAACATCACCACAAACATTCTTACAAGGTTGTTTCTTGCCTTTATTAATTGAAATAATTTTCTTGTATTAATCTAATGACAAAATTATATTTGGGCAAGACACTAATTAAAGAGTAAGACTAATCAGGCACACAATTATTTACTTCTATCCTCAGAGACTTTACCCAATATTCATAAGACTTCTTTAAATCTTACTTAGAGATTATTGAATAAACTGAAGTTCATGTTACTACCTTGTCTCTTAGGACCATGGAACTTGTCACCATCAGATTGTCTTCCGGCTGTCTTTTGTTGAAACACTGTAAAAAAAAAATAGCACATAATATTTACTGAACACAAGCATGAAAAAGAACAGACTGTGGAAGTCTCCAGGAAACTAGAATGTGATACCTCATTTTCCTTAGTAGCAATTCTTGAATTGTATTATTTTTGAGTAGGAGGATTATTAAATTTACAATTTTCTCATTTGCACAGCTTATCAGTCATTTCAAAAAGCATTTTCTTTAGGCAGAAGAGTGTAATGCTGATGGAACACCTCATTAAACTATTTAAATCAAGATAGGATTCCATTCTGATATCAGGTAAAGCTAAAAGGTGCATTTTGTTAAAAGTGATAAATGTTAAAATCACATGAAAAATTCCATTTGCACAGAAATTACTCATGCTGACTTTCTGGTGATAAGCAAGGGTAATGACGGTTTCTTCTTAAACAGATGAAAAGACTGCTGTATTTCACAGATGTAATAATAAAAAAGACACTTTATTCTTGCGTCATCTAGCTAGACCTCAGACCTATTAAAGCAGCTTATTCGAATTACTTCATTATCTGAAAAGTGCTTTGTTCTCATTTATTACTTCTCGCATGAAATTCTGTGAGAAAAGTCAGCATTACTCACCCCATTTTGCAGATGAAAGATAAAATTGATTGTTTAATATTTATTGAGCACCCCACAAAGTTCCGTATAGCTTCTGGCATTTGTTAATGAAAAAGCTTATACCCTTTACAACTTGACTTTAGAAAATGAACATCCCAGAGTTTGTGCTATTTATTTTTTATGGGTAGTCTGCATTACAGGGTTTGGAAACAGCTAGAGGCCTTGGAGATTGAGTCCAACCTCATATGTGTAAAGATGAGGGAGGTGGAGGTTTTAATAACTTGTAAAAGCGCTGAGTAATTTCACAATGATCCCAGAACTGTTGTTAGTAGAGACGTGATTTAGAGCCTCAAGCCTTTAACTTCGACCTATTGCTTGGTTCTCCACAGCACTGTTGCCTCTTCTCTTCCATAACTATTTCTTTTGAAAGATAAAGAAGGAGATAGAGGGAGGGAATTCACAAGAACCCTTGAGCATTTCCAGCATGCTTGGGTCTCCTGATCCTCTCAGCAGCTCACCAGACTTTCCTGGGACAATGGAGCTGAGGCATGTGGGAGGGAGCGAGCAGTCCAGCAGGATGGTGCTTGACCACTCTGATGGGAAGATGCAGCCCAGCAGTTGTCTTATATTCTCTGTCTCTAGTTTTAACATTCTTTAGACCAATCTATTATCAAGGTCACACCTGTGTTTAATCCAGATGACATTTTTTTGAATTTAAAAAAAACTGCCCCAAATCCTATCACATTAAAAATGATTTATTAAGCATATTTAGTTTGTCAAGACAAAGAGTACTCTGCCCTACTGTCTTCTTTCAAACAGGAAAAGCAAATATATTTTCAAAGTATGATGTGTTTAAGAAGAGTTATACTCATGAAATAACATCATTTCTGGTTGAAAATCAATTTTCTGCTTCAAGTTAGTATTTGAAAAACATGCTAAATATAACTTAATGGCAAGTTATGGGCTTGTGGTTTGTATTTTTCCTTAAATAAAATATAATGATGGATATATGGTGTGTGAGTGTATTTTAGGATATTAGAAAAGTTTTTACAAGTGGTGCTTGATTTTTTTTTCATTGGCCAGTTCTAAAAAGTCTTGAAAATATGAAACACTCTTGAAATTTTAATAACAGGCGGAGTCTTTGCACGCTTTTTCTGTTTTTGCCAATATTGTTAAGATGATAACTGAAAATGTCTAAGACAAAAAAGGCTGTAGTCTGGCATCATTAATATGGAAAATAATCTGAATCCAAAGATAAATCTGGACAACAAATTCTCCAAATAAAGAGTACATCAATCAGTTTTAACAGTTCTGCTGCATTTTGAAGCTACAGAGTACTTGGAATTAGTTTTTCCAGATTTTTGGCATTAATTTTTTAAAAATCATTTTACATCCTGTATGTGGTTCTGCTGACAACAAATGCCCAGGGTGCGTGAAATGCAGTAAATGCGAAACAAGTCAACACTCTCTTTCGGTTTCTAGCCTTAGAATTATAAAGAGTGTTACTTATTTCTTGTTGAGATTTCACCAGGGCTTCCAGCTGGAAGAGCCCGGGATCTGAAGGAAGATTGGGAGGGAAGCTGGATGTCTGAGAAGGATGGTTATCAAAGTGCTGATAACAGAACTTTTTAAAAGCCGGGTGTGCATCCTGTCACACCCCACAGTACAAAGGCCCTTTCTCCCTGGATAATCTCTCTTGAAATTCCCTCTTAACTCACCTCCAGCTGCATCCATTTCAACTGGTCCCTTCCTTCCACCTACACACAAGCCTCATTTCCTTACAAAGACGCAATTAGCACATTACTAAACACACTGTTTTCTTGATGCTATGGAAGTTAGGAGGTATTTTTGAATGTGAGGTAATCTTGGAAAAAGACCTACATTAACTTGTCTCCTGAAGAAAGCGCTAGTCCATCAAAATGATCAGTGACTCAAACATGCATAATAAGGAAACATACTCTGTTAGCCTTAGGAAAAGGATAGGTAGATATAAAATTCCAGAATTCGTTAATCTTTCTTTTTTATGGTTAATATTAGCTGAAACATTTTAAATTTACCAGTAAAACCTTTGTTCTAAAAAGCTTTATATGCTTTCTAGTTACCATGCTCACTGACACAAACCTTTATAAGAGGTAAATGTAAAATCCATGATATCCTGAGAACTGAACATTGGGTTATGGGTCACTCAGCTTTATATATGAAAGCACATACTTTTGTACAAGATTTGTGGGGAATAAGATGAGAGTCTGTTTTAAACATACAAAAATTGGAAAAGAAACAACCCACCTATATGCCAGAACGCTAACTAACTTGGCACCGGGGAAGGGGTATAGTTTTGTCTTAATGTTAACAACATATGTGACATGGGAAAATGTCTTTCCCCTCCTGGCACTTTATTTTCTTGCTGATAAAGGTGGAGCTCAGATGAGATGATCTCTAATGTCTCACTCAGCTCTGACATTCTAAGATGCTACCAATTCTTATTTCCCAAGTCACTTCAGGCCCAATAGTGCCTGGATAAATTCTTAAGTCTGAATTTAAATAGGGGACTCTGTTTTGAGGAAGAGATTATTTGTACTGAGGGCTTAGACTAATAGAAAAACTAGAAAGTTAAACCACAGACCAAGGTTAATTTTTTAGAAATTATGGAGGTGATCCTGTCCCTATGTGTCTGAATTCTTGCAGGATACTATTTTTTTTTTTTTAAATCACATTTTACTGCATCAATGTTCAAAAAATGCTATTAAGGCAATTATGACATACATCAACATTGATGACTCTGCCTCAGTGAAATTTTATTTTTCTCTTCCTATCTAAAATTGGAATTTGAGAAGAAAGGAAAATGAATGCATTATTAGTAGTTGTCACCACCTTTAAACATTAAAAAAAGCCCAGAGAGAAAGAAAAACAATTTTTGAAGTTCAAAATAATCTCAAACGGTGCAAATGTCCCAAATACCACCCCCATTTATCTTAAATATTGGTGGGACAACTTCTATAAAATTTTCTCTAGAATAGAAATGACACTAAATGGAAAAAAAATTAGCATAGTATTAAATATTCAAAACATTAAGCAAAGCAGAACTATCAGAAGAACAGAGGAGGAGGAGAAGGTGAAATATAACGAATTCACTGGTACTATTTGTCTTTCCAGGTTGCTTTTGCAAGAACATTTTTCATGTCAACTTCATTTATGGCCTATTTCAAGCAAAGGGACCTTACCAAAGCCACCCTCCTTAAAACATCTGACAAAACTTATTTGGAATTTCTTTGTAAGTGGCTAAGGTGATGGAAAGTCTGTGCAACAGCCAAATGCATTCATAAAGATGTGGCTTATAAACAACAAATCCCTTGATGTTCCATGCCCATTAGAAGAGCAACATAAAATGTTTAGAGCTATCACTGAAGATTATTCTAGAAACTAGAGATTTGATATAAAAAAGTGACAGATTTGTATTATGCTCTGGGTTCTCAGAATGATATTGTATAGGTAGCAGCAGTGTGTTTATTATTTACTCAATAAGCTTTCATTACGTTGCTAACTGTGTAACCAACTACAGTGTTAGGCCAAGGTAAATAAAATCCAGTCATAGTCTCTACAATGGCCTCCATTTTGATGTATTCATTTAAGCAAAGGTCAAATGTGTCCTTAGTGCCTACCGATGAGAGACGATAGAGATGAGAAACAATCAGGGAAGGCAAAGGTAGTAATTTGACCCCTGTAGCCTTACTCTTCCTACCTTGTTCTCCCAATTTGCACCCTGTGAAAGGTAATCACAGGAAGGTGGAATGAGGCAAAAGCAAACAAACAAACAATAAAAAAACCCACAAAACCCAAAACACTGTAAACAACCCCTTTGTCTAAGCAGCAAAAACAGGTTAAGAGAATATTCTAATCCTATAAGTAGTCACACTGTCTAAGCAAACTGAAGCTCAGAGGAGAGAGGTAGCTTCTTTGCAAATTGACCAAGACAGATTGAGCACCCCTACTGGCTTAAAACCACCATTGTATTCTGTTAGCAATAGTTACAGGTTATTAATTTGAACAAATTTATCAAACATAGCTTACCACATTTGGATAGGCACATTAGGGTTGGCATGGCCATAGACAGTCACATCAGCTACATCCTGTGAATGCTGTCCAACTGAAAGTAGTTTACTGCCTGGGAGATATATGGAATCAGGAGTTATGATACTGTCTTCTTAAAGGAGAATACTTCTGAGATTGGTAGGGAAGGAAAGTTGGAAATCACATAACTACCAGAAGGAAAATGGCATAAACATTCTAATTCAATGGCCATATCAATTTTCTCCTAAGGAGAAAGCATGAATTTTCTTTCCAATTTGTAATGGAAACTTTAAGTCTAATAGACATGTTCCCATAAAAATCTTCTCCCCAAACAGGAAATCTTATTGTAATTTTTT